AAAAAAAAAAAATCAATTAAAGTACCCAACGTGAATTATGGTGGAATGGGTAATGGTGGAACCACTGCTCAAGTTGGGGGACGAGCTAGTCATGGTGGATGCAGTGACAGACAAGCCGCTATCGGCCTTGTCAACGCCGATTTCGCTAACGGGGTTTTACTTAGTACCTCTGGCTCCATACATGGCGAGCCAACATCCTTATTGACGGACATCGATCAGGCGCCTATTTCTGGTTAACTGATGCCCAATGAGAGTCTATTGTACACCTCGTCACTTCTGCCCGTAACAATGCTCCTTTGTCCGGTAAGCGTAGTCCTTATGAGTGGATGTATGATAGCGGTGCTTCACATCATATGACGGGCTACTTGAAATTTTTTTTTCTGATATTCGGGATATTCCGTCCCAGTCTGTGCAGTTAATGTTTACTAATTACGAAGCATGATTCTTCGCCAAATAGGATTCCGAAGCACCAGAAGCAGCCACGTAGGCTCAGCGCATTTTGGAATTATATATAAGGAGGATGATGTTTTGTCCGTTGACAGTCTGCAGTGCAGCTTGATATCTTTATCTCGGTTGTTGGAACATTCTGGTTGTGTTGCTACTTTCACTAGTAAATATTGTGCTATTCAGGACCTCACTACGGGGATGGTGATTGGAGCGGGCGACCAGTTGGGGGNNGTTTATTTTTTTCGAGGGGCGATCGCTGCCAATGCCTCTCGGGTGTCTTCGGTTATGCAACACTTGTGGAACCAACGGATGGGTCATCCCTCTTCTACTGTTCTTGGTCAGTTGCCTTTTGTTAAATCTCATTCCTTGGTCACAAGTAAAACTTGTGATGTTTGTTGTCGGGCTAAGCAATCTCGTACTAGCTTTCCTCTTAGTCTCAGTGTTAGCAGTTCCATTTTCAGTCTGATTCATTGTCATGTGTAGGGACCGGATAGAGTTCTTGCCTTTTGTGGTGCTCGATATTTTCTGACTATTGTTGACGACTATTCTCGCGGTACTTGGACTTTCTTATTGGATGACAAATCTTCGGTGTCTTCCACTTTACTGCAGTTTTTTGCTTTTGTAAAAAGGCAATTTGGTGTGTTGGTTAAAACTGTTCGCAGTGACAACGGAACTGAATTTACTCGTATGCGTGATTATTTCTGTCAACAGGGGATTGTTTATGAAACTTCTTGTGTCGGAACTCCTCAACAAAGTGAACGTGCTGAGCGCAAACATCAGCATATTCTTAATGTTTCTCAAGCATTACGCTTTCAAGCCCATTTACCAATTGAGTTATGGGGACATTGTGTACTTGTTGTTGGCTATTTGATTAATCGAACCCCTACTACTCCTCTTTTATCCGGCAAGACTCCCTATGAACTTTTGTATGGAGAACCTCCCAACTATGCGCACTTACGTGTTTTTGGTTGTCTGTGTTACGTGCACAATCAGAACAGGGAAGGTGACAAGTTTGCAAGTCGGAGTCGTCGATGTGTTTTTGTTGGCTATCCATCTAGTCAAAAGGGGTGGTGTGTTTATAATTTGGACAACTGCACGTTTCTGGTCTCAAGTGATGTGAAATTCTGTGAATCAGAGTTCCCTTATTTGATGTCTCCTGCTCCAGACATTGCCTCTGTACCTCTGGTTCCATGGCCTGTTGTTTCTGACGATGATGATACTGTGGTGGTTCCCATCACGACGCGTACAACTGACGCTGGGGGTTCTGAAGTCATTATTGTTTGGGGGGGGGGAGGGGGTAATCCTCCCCAAGAGGAATTGTTGGGCTGTGGTCATTGTCTCAAGAGGCAGAGAGGCAGGTGGTGAATAGAGCATATTCATAATGGATGGAGTTTGATAACATGAATAACACAAAGATAGCAGATTCTGTGCAGGTGCAAGGAGTAGGGGTTCAAAATTTTGAACTCAGTTCTAATGTGCTGATGCATAGGCTGATTCTTTGAAAGGAAGGGCATGGCAAAAGAACAATCTTGTTAAGAGGTGGATATATAGTCCCACATTCCCAACAACAACAACATGGAGAGGATGAGCTCACTGGTTTAGAAGAGTGTTTGATCTTGGGAAAGGAAGTAGGATGGCAAACAATGCATGTCCAGATAAATGGTGCTCAACTAAGACAAAGGTTTCATGAACCAAAATTCCCAGAGTGCAAGTGATATGGACATAGTACATGATTTTTTATGTTTGATTTCCTGTTTCCCCTCCTGTTCTTTTGTTGAAGGCTTTGATCCGGTTTGAATAGTTACTTTGTGTTGGATTTGTGTTTAGATTTCTTTCTTTGGCCTAGTTGGTTGTGTAGGGGATACAATGTTAAGTCCCTCGGTTGACCCTTTTCTGGTTTGTCAGGAAAGGTGTGTAACTTGTAGCCGGTTGGCTATGAGTATGTACATTTTGAGTTTCCGTTCTATGAAATTGATGTTGTTTCTAAAAAAAAAATGAAATTAAAAGGTTACTGTAACGTAAATAAGTTAAACATTAATCACATGCGAACATCCTCAGTCACAATCAAATGAACCTTTAACTTACCACAAATTGATAAACATCAGTTATTAATTTATCATTACACAATTAATCATTTTATTGATATCCTTTCAAGCCAAGTAAAAGTTCATGTTAGTACCCTTCAAGAAATCAAGACATTCAGGAGAGATCATAAAATATTATTATATTACCCTCCAATTAACTTTGTTTTAAAAAAAATAAATGAATATTGTGCAATTAATTAACTTCTCAACTTATTTCAACGTCTTAGAATTGTTGTTGAGAAACATAATGATATATAACGTGACATTTAGTAGCCAGATTTTACCCGTTACATTAATGATCATGATGATGCAATATTCTATCACGTCCGGTTTGTAAACTAAAACGAACTAATAATGAAATGGATCGAATTTTGCTTAATGATTGCAAAATTTACTGTTAATTGCCTCCCGAAACTTACATAATTTAATTATATTATATATTCCTTGTAAAAATGAAATGTACACTCTTCTTATTTATATGTGATTTATATAAAGTTTAAAAGTAAGAACAAGTGCATATCTCGTGCTATCCACGTGAAGTTAATACTTAAATTATTCTTTAAAATTAAATATTGGACTAAATAAATATATTTAGGCTATTTTCTAAAATAAAATGTTCTAACAAATCATATTTTATTTTTAAAAATTAAATGTTGGTCTAAACGAACATATTAAGCAGCTGAATAAACCTAATACTGATTTATTTAGTTTGGTGTTTTTGTCGTTCGCTGGGGAAGGGCTATTAGATTTATTTAGTTTGGTGTTTTTGTGTTCTTGTTTTAGTTTTCGTATTTGTGTTGTGCGTGCCTTGTGTTTTTGGTTTGGGCCGTTGGCCTCTGTGAGTCCGAGTGTCAAACTTATTATCCCGTTGGGATCCGACACTCGGGTATTACCCTGTTGGAGTCTTTTCTAGTTGTTTTAGATGTGTGAGTTGTTGGTTTAGTTTAGTTGCGAGTTTTTTATTCTAGCATTGCTAGTCAGGATTCTAGGCGGTCTTATGACCTGTCTTCCCACTTTTTCAGCTGTTGGCTGCTGTGTATTCAGTCGTTGGCTGTTGTATATTCGCACATTTGTGCTTTTTGAGTTATAATATTTTCTGTCGTTTTAGAAAAAAATAAATAAATAAAACCTAATATTGATTTTAAGATGATTTTATACGTATATTTTCGAGGTATACACACAAAATATTCTTATGTATATTTTTTTGAGATCACATACAATTTAAAGGTATTCCCTAATTTAAATTTCTCATTCATTTACTCGTTGATTAATTGACTTAAATTTTAAAAATATATTTCCTTTATCAATTAGATCAAATTAATGTAAAAAATATATTAATGAGATTTTATAATTCAATTTTTTTAATTACCTCTTAAGAATGTTAAATTTAATATAATTTCAAATGCTAATGTTCCAAAATAAACGAGTAATTGTCTGCATTTGATCTACAAATTTACTAGATAATAAGTTAATAAATTTTTTACAGTTCTGACAAAATTCGAAAAAGATATCTTATTCTTCATTACCTCAACTTTTACTTAAAAATTATGTCCCCGAATGCTATTATGTAGTATCACCGAAGGCTAAAAGATTGTATAGGTTAATCAAAATAAAAATATGCGAACGTTTAACATATATAACGCACATACATAGACAAAAAAAAAAAAAATCATTATATAGCAATTTTTAAATTAAGAAATTAGATCTATATGTAATATGGACACTCAATAATTACTCTTATATGTTGCAGGTTTCAAAAAATAAAAATAAAAAAATCACATCCGCATTGAATTGAACAAATTGATAATTTACGTGGATATGTTGTGAATTAAAAAATATATATTTACCTATATGTTGTACATTATATTTATTATTTTTTCTCTAAATGGATACTCAAAAATGTGCAGCAAATTTTATTATCACATTATAAATTTAGAATTATTATTAATTATTATCATATTTTGGATTTAGAAATATTTGTAAAATTTATTCATCATATTGTAAAGGCAGAAAAATTAAAAATTTGAAATTCCTATATTTAGTGAAAATAAAATAGGCTGAATTTTTTCTTACTATATAACGTAAATTTTTAGTCTTTTTTTATATTAATAGATATAGATATAAATGCATTCATAGAATCATAGATGCGTTGGTATTTGTTTTAATATTAAAGAAATCAAAGAATAATATTTCGATATGGTATATAAATCGTTAAGGAGTGGTTTCCATGGTTACACCGTAAGCATTCTTGTTTTGACGAAATAAACATGTGGGTACAAGTTATCAATGTTCCGTTGAATTGGATGAGCACGAAAGTTGGGGTTAAAATTGGGAAAACAATCAACAGAGTTAAGAATGTTGTGGTCTGCAAAGCAGGTGGTGAGGCTGGGAGTTCTCTTAAGATTTTGGTGGCTGTGAATATTAATGAACCTATTCCCAGATGCACTTCTGTGAAACTTGGGGACCAGAACATCATGGTAGCTTTTCGGTATAAACGAATTGCAAATCTCTGCTATTATCGTTGCATGATAGGACACGTAGATAGATGGCGTGCCCAGAGAATTGATGATATTGAGAGGATCATGGTGACTAAAGGGCAATTTGGTTAGTGGCTTAAAGCCAATGAAACTATGCCAGGGGGAAGAAGCAGCCAATCTGGTATTCCAGAATGAAAGTGGCTCAATCTATTGCCAATTCCAACCAGGGATCCTGTGAACCTACTGGCAACACTTCTGCTCTAGTGCCAACAGATGAGAATATATTGTTGATGTCTAAAAATGACCAACAATGTGTTCAAACTGTACACTAGAATGTGTACTCTGTTCGGTCTGCACGAATAGAGTTTGTGTACGTGATCTGGTTTTATTCTGATGGTCCG